CAGGGTTTTGATGAATCAGAATCAACTTCATAGCAGTGGGGTTTGTGGTGTGTCTGTGTGAGAGACAAAGGTTTGGGTTTACAGAGCAAATTTCAATCCAGTAATTCATACACATTTTGTTTCTTGACCTTGACTGCAGTCCTCCACTCTTCCTCCTTCATCCCTGTGTTTCCTGTTTCCATTCATCCTTCTATCCTATCCTTTCCTGCCATCTGGACTTTATCACTGTGAAAATACTTCTCTTTTGGTCTCGTATGGAGATTTATTCTAAAGACTGTTATTGTTTTACCATATAGGCCTGTCTTTTCTTTGGTTAAAAGTTGATCTAAGGTGGTGAATTCAGTTCTCCAGACTTGAAGGGGGTCTAAGGTCCACATTCAGGGGTCTTTAACAAAAAAACTTTATTCTCTCACAATTTAGGAAGCTAGACATCTGAATTCAGAGTATCAGCTCTTAGGGCATCCTCTCTCTCTCTTTCTCTCTCTCTTTCTCTCTCTCTTTCTCTCTCTCTCTGTCCTTTCTCTCTCTCTCTCTCCTCTCTCTCTCTCTCTCTCTCCTTTCTCTCTCTCTTCCCACCCCCCCCCTTTGGAGGGAGGTCTTTATCTCTTCAGTTTCCATTTCCTAGTTCGTTGGAAATCGTCATGTGTCTTGACATCTATCTGACCCTATCTCTTCTTGGCTAGTTTGTTGAATCTCTTCTCTATCTTAAAACAAACTGATTCCAAAAGGCCAGGCTTAGTGATCTTATAGAGAGTGGTAGAACCCCTAAGAGTATGGTGGTTAGCCACGCTTTGAGTCTGGAACTGAACACACCTTTGTGTCACAATTTGCAACCAAATAATACATTGATCTCTAGGATGAATAATAACATCAAAGAGATACTTAGCACTGAGTACCCTCAACCACACAGGATCATGAGAGACCTCTTTGCCCAAGGATAAAACTAAGAAAATAGCAAGGAAGAAGGTGGAAGGATGGATGGGAACGAGAACTATGGAAAGTGATGATAAAATGTAGGAAATATACTCAATATTATAAAATAAAATGTGTATGACTGGCTCAGTGGAAACAACCAATCTGCCCTATCAATGTTCAGTCAAACCACAATAAAAAGCTTATAAAAGAATAGAACAAACACAAACACATACATGATGGAAGACATGACATAAAAGAGTCATCAAAGGACCAAGGAATGCCTAGGGCTGTTGACATGGAATCAATATGGAGGCCACCTTGACATCAATATCTAGGAATCAACTTGGTGGAGACCTTGATGGTCAATGTCTAGAATCTACATGGTGGAGACCTTGATGGTCAATGTCTAGGAATCAATATGGTGGTCACCTTGACTTCAATGTCTAGGAATCAATATGGTGAAGACCTTGATGGTCAATGTCTAGGAATCAATATGGTGGTCACCTTGACATCAATATCTAGGAATCAACTTGGTGGAGACCTTGATGTCAATCTCTAGGAATCAACATGTTGGAGACCTTGATGTCAACATCTAGGAACCAACATGGTGGAGACCTTGGTGTCAATGTCTAGGAATCCACATGGTGGGAACCTTTACCTCAATGGATAGCAATCAACATGGTGCCCCCCTTGACCTCAATGTCTAGGAATCAACATGGTGACCACCTTAATGTCAATGTCTAGGGATCAACATGTTGGAGACCTTGATCTCAGTATCTAGGAATCCACACAGTGGAGACCTTGAAGTCAATGTCTAGGAATCCACATGGTAGAGACCTTGATGTCAATGTCTAGGAACCAACATGGTGGAGACTTTGAAGTCAATGTCTAGGAATTCACCAAGTGGAGACCTTGATGTCAATGTCTAGAAATCAACATGGTGGAGAGCTTGAAGTCAGTGTCTCAGAATCAACATGGTGGAGAACTTGTTGTCAATGTCTAGCCTCTAGAACTGTGATAAAGTAGATCTCTGTTCTTCAAAGCCATCCACATATGGTAGTTGTGTTACAGCAGCACCAGGTAACTAACCTAGTTGCCATTGGGTCAACTCTGACTCTTAGTGACCCCATGTGTGTCAGAGCACAACGGTACTCCATAGGGTTCTCGGTGGCTGGTTTCTTGGAAGTAGGCCACCAGTCTTTTCTTCTGAGGCTCCTCTGGATAAGATCTGTTTGCACCACCCATGGAGTCCATCTCCTTCAACTCTTTCTTCAATTCTATGAGAAAGGTCATGTTCTTCCCACTTTCAAGTCAGAAAATGTACTCGGAAAGAAGTCACTACCTGAAGGTTTCATAACCAATAAATGACATAAGAATTCAGACCACCTTCTGAAATGTAGAGGAAGGTTTAAGACAGAATAAAACCAGAGGACAAGGCCCTGGTGGCATGGTGAATTAAACCTTCTGTTCATAGAACATACTTGTAGTCATCTAGTTGGGGCTGCTCTTGAGTTTCTTGTAGAAGTTACTAGATAGTAGAACATGGAAGCTTGTTATTTGTTATTAATGTATTGGTAATCATTTAAAAGTAAAGATTCTTTGTCATGAAACACACACACACAAAAAAAAAAAACAACCAAAAAACCCTTCTTTAATAACCAAGAGGCTGATACTTTGGATTCACCAGCCATTCTATGAGAACAAGATGGGACAAGTAGCGTCCATATATACTTACAGCCTCTGAAACCCTATGGGCAATCCTACTCTGTAGTACAGGATCTCCATGACTCAGAATCAACTCCAAAGCAGTGAGTTTGGATTTCTGGTGGAAGCAGAGGGCAATGGGCAAAACTAGGGGGTGAGTGAAGAAGGAGCTGAAGGGTAATTACTAAAGAAGAAACTTACCAACGCAGAAGAGTCAGCCTTCTCAGCTGCAGATGCACCTGGAAGGAAAGATTCTATCATTGCTTCATCCCCGGTCAGATCTGTGTGCACATGCACACACATATATACAGATTTCACTTACAGCTGCACACAAACACACACACACACCTCTAACATACACACGTCACTCACCAAAACAAACACCTCCAGCCACATCCATGCACACCAAGTGTATCATATCCATTTTCACTCACCGTACACACATCTAGCATCACACACGTACACACATCCCACTCACTACACACGTATCCAGACAAGTAGATACATATCTATGCATATAGAGACAGATGTGTAAATGCTGACCTGTCCAACCCACATGCGTACACACGTGCTTCCATTCAATGCACACACATGCCATAGACACACGCACACGCTCACTCACCATGCAAGCACATGTACAAGCACGTGCTACATATGTGTGCCTTCAAAGATATGTATGAGCATCTCCTAAACAGGCAAATACACAAATATACACCCACACAAGCGTGTCCACATACGTGCATACACATATCCACATATACATAGTAGTATACTCACCCATGGGCATATCCAAATACTCATATGCATATACACATGAGCGTAACATACAGATTCACATGTATTCATTCACATTTCCATGGACATATACGTGTGCACCCACTCAATATATATTCACCATACATTCACATGTGTGTCCATATTTGCATAAACCCCTATACATCACACATATAGGCACGTACATGTCTATACAGAAGCACACATACACACATGCCTTGTCCACATATGCGTACATGTACTCACAACCGATCTAATTATATGCATACAATTTTTGTGCATATCCCATTCATACTTGTTCACTTGAATTTGAAGCCAGAGTCGTGCATAGTTAGAAACACACAAGCACACATGGATATGCACGTGCCACGTACATGCACGGAATGCGCATTCACCATACACACAAAAATATACGTGGAAAGCTAAAATGTTAAACTAAATGTAAGGCAATTGTTAATCCAAATGATAACACTTAAACAGGAATTTAAGGAGGTGCAAATACAAGCTGGAATTCTCCCCGAGACAGGTCACAGGAAGCAGGCGTCAAGGCACACCTCATGACACCTTTGCAATTCTAGGACTGTATTTGTTTGCAAAACCATAATTCCTGAGATAAGCATAAAGTTGTCAGCTGTAAAAAACCTAGCTTCATTTGTAATGCATGTTCTCTGTGATTTACTTCCTGGGAGTTCTCAATAAATGTTAGAAGGACGCTGGGCTCTGGGCTGCAGTCTTGGAGCTGTTCGCCCCCGACCTTTCTGCTTTCCTGTCTCTTCGTCTTGTGTTCCTGTCTCTCCTTTGTCCCTGGTTTACAACAAATATACAACACACACTTAAACACATGTGCACATATAAACTCACTGCTTTTTGTCCCAGTTTACTTACCTGTCCCCACTTCTTCTGGTTTCTTGGAGGAGTAGGAACTAAGACAGAGAAACAAAGTGAAGCATTGGATGAAAATAGAAATTGGAGAGTGAAAGACAGACCACTGTGGGTGGGCTGAGGGCGGAGTGAAGGGCACAGTCCCGGTGCTCATCCCACATCCTTCCGGTTATCCTGACTTACAACAGCCCTGTCTGATAGAGCAGAACTTCCCCACAGAGTGTTGGAAGCTGTGATCTTGACAGAGCAGACTTCCTTATCTTTGCTCGGTGAAGGGTCCAACGTCTTGCTTGACCTTTCCGTCAGCAGCCCCCTTCACCACCAGTTCTCTTTATTTAGCTCACTGCAAAAGTCTAAAACCGAAGTTCCCCTCCGCCTCCTCCCAGCTCCAACACCCTCCCCTCCCCTTGGGTCTCTGTGTAATACAGAGTCCTAGGCAAACCTTGGCAAGCTTGAGGAGGAGGAAGTGGTTGGAAGCTGAGGAAGAAGTGGGAAGAAGCTGAGAGGAGAACGTTGAATGAAGTAGAAGAAGAGTGAAAACAATATGGAACCAGGAGAGAAAACTAAGGGCGGCTACTACTGTGGCTGGTCTGAAACATACGAGAAACTTAAGTTAAAACGTTAATGAATGAGGAAGTGGTAGAGAATGAAGTTCAGTATAGACAGACCTCAGAGCTCATTGCAGGATTTTTTTCCTGACTACTATAATAAAGTCAGTCTTGCCACAAAGCAAATTCACTCACTTTACTGCAATATAGGGATTTTTTTAAATTTCCCTGTGCATATAAAAGTTGGATTCGCACTAGACTACAGTCTGTGAAGTGTGTGATGTTGTTATGTGCCGTTGAGTCACATGCAACTCATAGCAACCCTGTGTACAACAGCTCTGAACCCTGCTCTATCTTTCTGTTGTTGTTGTTGTCTGTTTGTTTATTGTAAAAACATGTATGGGGTTCCAAGGGGGTTAGGAGTGGAAACAGAAGGGTGAGGATGGGTAGAGATGAAATCACAGGGTTGCACAATTTGGTGGGTGGAGGGAGTAAATAAAGGAAATGAGAAATATCTGGCAGAGACTGGAAAAGACAGGGTAATGGTGGGCATAGTCCAATGGTGATTAGTTTTTTATAAAGAGATTGCCTTTTTTTTTTATCTGTGGGTTTCCCATTTGGGAATAGGGGTGCAGACTCGCTGGCTGCAGGCACGTTGAGATGAAGGGGATGGGAAGCCCACTTTAACACTTGTTTGGTTAGAAGATATTTTCACGATGTTTTCTGCCCTCTAGACTATATACAGTGTTAGCATGAGTGAGTCCAGTGGGAGTGGCTGGCTGAACGTTGAGGCTCTTTCCATCCACCGTCCTTAGCTGACAGTTATATTTTGCTTTTTGTTCTTGGAACTGGGCTCAAGGTTCAGGTTTTGGAACAAGACTCAGTGTTCAGGTTACCAATAGGAAAGGGAGTAAACCTAGTACAAACACCAACCTCAGGCATCTGTCTGCTGTAGGAAAAGCAGATACAACGTGGAGAAGACTGACTCTGACTTCTCCCTGCTTCCCAGTGTCTCCTGGACCTCATCTTCACTGCTCTTCTTCCGGGTTTCTGAGGTACAGAACTACCCAAACCCTGCTCTATCTTGAGCCAATTTCATTGTCTCTGACACACTTACCCCCATTACCCAGGTCACTGAGTCAATTCATTTCAGCCAGGGTCTTCCTGTCTTGTGCTGTCTCTCCACTCGTCCAAGAATAATGTCCCTCTCCAAGGATTAGTCCCTCCTGGCAACATGCCCAAAGTATTTCAGATGGAGCTTCAGAATCCTTGCCTCCAAGGGGTAACCTGGTTTCACCCTTTCCAGGATGAATGTGTTTGTTCTCTTAGTATAATAGATACACAGATGATAGATAGATGATAGATTAGCTAGATAATAGATCATTGATAGATGATAGATGATAGATTAGGATGGATCGATGGATGGATAGATAGATAGATAATGGATGGATGATGGATGGATGGATGGATGGACGGACGGATGATGGATGGATACACAGATAGATCTATATTGTATAGTAAGGGAAATTTCAATAAAACAAGATGTGTCTGAGATTGGCTTATTCTACCTTTTAGCCGTCTTGTCAAGAGTTGTCCCTGAGAAAGAAAATTTAAAAAAAGGAGACACAATTAACTTCCAATTTCTGTCTCTCCCATTTCCCCTAAAACACATAACCCTTGCCTCTCAACACTTACCACATCGGGTGTACTTGTAAATGAAGAAGACTGAGAGGAGGAAGAGGAGGAGGAAGGTGAAGGTGAAGATGGCAATAAAGATCCCATTCGTGTCTGCTGAGAGAAGCACAGGAGACATGCTGTGACGCCTAGTACACAGGCAAGATCCGAGAAGAGTCAATGCCTCTGAACTGCGGTGCTGAGGAAGAACACGGAATACTTCACGGATCGCCAAAAAGCAGAGAGATACCTTGGGAGAAGGGCAAGCCAGGTGCTGCTGATAAGGAGTAATGATGAGCCTTTGTCCCCCAACCTTCCGGCATGTTATCAGGAGGGACCAGCCTCTGGAGAAGGACTTATAATTGAATAGAGTCAGAGAAAATCTTCAATGGGATGGATTGATGTAGGGACTGTGGGACTGTTGAGATGGGTTTCAGCACAGGTGAGATCGTGAAGATGGTTATAGGATCAGTCAGGGTTTCAATTTGTTGCTCGTGAGTTCACAATGAGTTGGAGTCAATTGAAAAACACGCAACAGCAACAACAATGGGTTACCTGTTTGCTGTGTTGTCAAGAACTGTTGAGTTGGTTCTGATGGTCAACGACCCAACCCACAACTGTTACTTCCTATTAAGGTAGGGGTTCCTTGCCATGGTTTGCTGTGTTGTCAAGTACTGTTGAGTTGGTTCTGATGGCCAACGACCCTACCCACAACCATTATTTCCTGTTAAGGTAGGGGTTCCTTGCCACGGTTTTCTCCTTTCAGGGGCTGAGCTTCAGGACCCTGAAGTAAGATTAATTAAGTTGCGTGTCGAATGAGTAGGCAGGTCTGTGACTCTTTCACCTCATCCTTGTTTCTGGTTCCCCCAACGCCTGCGGCCTCCACCCACAAGGAAACTGTGGGTGTCAGTGTGGTCTGAGCTGGGCAGATGCACTTTAATGGGATTTTCTCTTTTTTTTTTCCTTTTTTTTGGTTTTGTTTATTTAAATAGCATTCCGTTTATTACAAATGTTTAGTATTGACTTCCCATATTTCACCCCTTTTGTTTTTATCATAATTATGTTATCATCTAGATGAGCATCCTTTATACACAAACAAATAAAACAAATTAAACATAATAAACTCAAAGAAATACTTTCCAAAATCTCCATAGGATGAAAAGGATTCAAGTTGAACACTCCTTGAAAGTTTGTTTTAGTTGTCCCATTGCCACAGTGCTTGTCAAAACCAGTTCTGATTTTAATGGGATTTTCACCGACTGGTTTCCAGAAATGGATCAAGAGACTTTTCCTCTTAGTCTTAGAAGGAAAAACCCCACTGAAACCCATCCAGCCACACAGCAGCGTGCAAGCGTCCTCTGGTGGACAAGGGGTGGAACTGAATCCTGGGGGTGTCCATCAGAAGGTGAGAAGCCTCCCACTGACCCAACACTGCCTTATGGCTTTGTTGTTGTTAGGTGCTGTCAAGTCAAGCAGGACACACAGCGACCCTACGATGCCATCCTCAGCATCTCTGACACCCCCATTGCTGCAGTCACTGTGTCAATCCACCTGGCTGAATTGACACAGCCTTCCTCTCCTTCACCATCCCTCCGCCCTTAACCAACCGAAATATCTGCTACCCTTGAGTTGATTCTGCCTCATAGAGACCCTATCAGACACAGTGGATAGTCTTTCCATGGCTGTACGTCTTTAAGAGAGCAGACCACTCCGTCTTTCTCAGTAAACAGCTAATGGTTTTAGCAGCCAAACGCTTAACTGCTGCATCACCAGAGTCTTATCCACCATCACAGCCTCGCTTTGAACCACCATCTTCCGGCATCACCAAAATGTAGCTTGTCCTCGGGAGTCTTGCTAGTGACTGGGTGTGTCCTAGTCCCCGATGGAACCTCATTCCATTTTAAACATCTGTAAGTCTTGGGATCAAGGCATCACACTTCCCTCCCAAAGGCACACAGTTCAAATCCACCAAATGCTCCAAGAGAGAAAGATGGGCAGTCTCCCATGGGATTGACTGCCTCTGAAAACCAGCTGGAGGGTAATCCCAACTCAACAGCCCAGAACCAACATGTCCTGGGAAGATGAAATCAGGGGGCACAACAGTTACACATTCTGCTGCTAACCAAAAGGTTAGTAGTTCAAACCCACCCAGCGACTCATCCAGAAAGACCTTGGGATCTGTTCCCTAACATGTAGCCTCAGAAACACTACAGGGAAGTTGTACTTAATCACATGGGCCACTATCATTTGCAATCAACTTGACAGCATATAGAATTTCTTTATTCCCCCCTTAACTATTTTTTGTGATTTGAATGAAAGTTTACAAGCAAATTGGTTTTCCAAATCAACTACTATAAAGACACACTTTCTTTCATGACATTGACGGTGTTCTTCATTTTGAGAGTCACTCTTCCCATTTTCCCTGGCCCTGTGTTTACTACTTCCTTCCACTCTTATTCCTTAGTCCTTTCTGTCTTCTGAACTCTGTCTCTAGTCAAATGCTGCCCTTTGGGTCTCCTGTACTTGGTGGTTCCAGGCATTGCGTGTTTGCCTGGTATTTTTATTCATGTTACAGTCCTACTGTTTATCTGAAAGTTAAATGATGGAGATGAATTCAGTTCCCAATTTGAAAGGTAACTAAGAATGGTAATCTTAGGAGCTCTGTCAATCTCAATCAGAAGAGTAAGCCTACTGGTTTATTATGGTTGTTGTTGTTGTTGTTGTTGTTGATTGTCTTTGAGCCAAGCACGACTCATAGAGACCCTGTGAACAAAAAGCCTGAAGCCCCTCTACAACTATAGACATTTTTTTAATGTGTGTACCATCGAATCGGATCTGACTGGTACGGGAGGCAATTGTTCCTCCTTCTTCAGCAGAGCATCTGGTGGATTTGAACTGTGCACCTCTGGGATTGCAGTGCAGCTTTGTGCCACTAGGCCACCAGAGCTCGCCTATAGACATTTACTAAAGTTCATAGAGTTTCCAGAGGCATGTTGTTTAGGAAGTGGATGCCCCTCCTGCTTCCCAACCTGTCATAGTATGTTATTGCTTTTATGTGCCATTGAGTCGCCTGCTCAGCATTTTTTAAGCTGAAAGAACGGAAGAATAAAATTCAAGTCACGAGTTGTAATGCTTCAGGATGTTATGAGCATGATATTGGATGATTCGAGAACCATTAAAGGCAGATGGAAGGAGTATCCAGAGTCATTGTACCAAAAAGAATTGGCTGACACAAAAATTTCAAGAAATAACATGAGCAAGAGGCAATGGTGATGAAGGAGGAAGTGCAGTCTGTTCTGAAGGACTTGGCAAAAAAAATAAAGCCCCAGGAACTGATGGAATACCAACTGACATATTTCAACAAACAGATGCTGCCCTGCATGTGCTCACCAAGTTGTGCCAAGAAATCTGGAGGACAGCTACTCGGCCAACTGACTGGAAGAGATCCATATTTATTCCCATTTAAAAAAAAAGCTGACCTGACAGAATGTGGAAATTATAGAACAATATCACTAATATCGCATACTAGCAAAATCCTACTGAAGATTATCTAGAAAAGACGTGAACAGTACATGACAGGGAACTGCCAGAACTACAGGCTGGGTTTAGAAGAGGTCGTTGCACTAGAGACATTATTGCCAGTGTCTGATGGATCTTGGCAGAAAGGAAAGAGTACTAGAAGAATGTCTGTGTTTCATTGATAATGCAAAGGCATTAGACTGTGTGGATCACAATAAATTGTGCCTAACCTTGAGGAAAATGGGAATCTCAGAGCTCTTGACTGTGCTTATATGAAACCTATATTATCATTATTACTATTCTGAGTTTGGTTCGATGTTTTTCTCTCACTCTGCACAGGACCCTGCATGTGACCCTTGCAGAGAGGACAGCTATGGAAGTGGGGCACCATCTACTTCTTCTGATCTCAGGGTTCTGGAGGCTGAGGTTCAAATAGCCCATCAGTCCTCCAGACTAATTGTTTCGATGCCCTTTTGATTGTCATCACTCTTCTCTCGCACCCCAGGTGACCCCTCACAAGCTTGTCACAGCACTATCCCCCCATTCTCTGCTCATTATAATTCAAGTCCTGGTGGCCCCATGTGACTAAGAACAGCTTCCCTGTAGGTTTCTGAGGTTGTCGTTGTTTCCAAAGTGTATCTCAAGGTCTTTTCTCCAGTGGAGTCGCTAGCTGGGTTTGAACAATGAGGAAGATGTAGACCATCTTTGTAGACTATATCGTGCCAACTGATTTTGATGCACTCACCAACACTACGGTCCTGGATCCCCAGACCCAGCGACTCATTCCATCAAGTTGTTTGATGGATGATGGCAAAATTGCCAAAACGTGGCCTCCTATTGATGTTGTTGATAGATGCCAACAAGTCAACTCTGATTCAAAACAACCCAGAGGACAACAGATCGAAGCCTTGCCCTGTCCTGTGCCATCTCGTAGTTTCAGCCATGCTGAAGTTCATCGTTGCTGTGACTATTTCAGTCCGTCTCATTGGGGGTCTTCCTCTCTTTCAATGACCCTCTACTTTCCACAGCATGATGTTTCATATACTTCACACTGCTGTTGCTGTTGGTTTTTTGGTTTACTGTCGAGTCAGAACTGACCCATAGCAGAGCCCTCCACCATTTGTTTTGTTTTGTTTTGTTGTTTTTTTTTCCCAACTGGTTTTTAGAGGCAGTGAATTGCACAAGAGGAGATTGCCCATCCTTCTCCCGTAGAGCAGAAGGTGGCCTCGAACCTGTGCCTTGAGAATTACAGTGCAACAACTATTGACATTTATCAAAGTTCATATAGTTTCCAGAGGCGTGTTGTTTAGGAAGTGGATGCCACTCCTGCTTCCAACCCTGTCATAGTATATTGTTGTTATGTGTCATTGAGTCATCTGCAATAGGCAAAAAACATTACAAGGACCATGTCAAGGGAAGCCCAACCTTGGAAGAATCGAGATAAAGAAAAAATGACTATTGCAATTAGTCAATAGAACAAGATATCTGTAACTGTTTAAAAGGGAAAGGGATGAAGGGGTGTGGAAGAAGGAAGAGGAAATCAGTAAGACACAAGAAATTAGTAGGAAAATTAGGGAAAGAAAAGGAATAGATAAAGTGCAATATGGACTTGAGGAGATGGGGAGATTAACGTAATGGGTAAATAGTAATAAATACATAAAACACAATGTACAGAAATTC